CAAAGTCATCCGATTAGCTTTTGTGCCTAAGGCAGGACTAGAACTCACCGTCTCCTGGTGATTGGCTCAAAGTCATCCAATTGGCTTTTGTGCCTAAGGTAGAACTAGAACTCACCATCTCCAGACCAGAATCTCCCTCTGGAGCATGAGGTGGGTGGCATATACATTTAACACATAAATAAAAATAAAATAAAATTCCCTGTTCTCCATGTCTCTTGGCAGACGGGTCGCGTGGACAAGAACGTCCCTCTGGTGACTGGACATACAGCCCCCGTGCTGGACATCGACTGGTGCCCCCACAACGACAACGTCATCGCCAGCGCATCCGAAGACACAACCATCATGGTAAGTGACGGTTGCTGGCAATGTCACAGCCCTTCAGACTTTTCTCAGGCAGGCGGTCTTCGTCTTAACGACCGCGATTTCTATTTCTATGTCATAAGTTGAGCCATCGTGGGAACGGTCCCGGCTTTTTTCGTCCATGGATGTAAGTCGCATCATAATGGTCAATGTCTGGAATACTCTACCTGACTCTGTGGTTTCTTCCCCAAACCCCCAAAACTTTAACCTTAGACTGTCTACTATTGACCTCACCCCAGGGGTGGGATTCAAATTTTTAACAACCGGTTCTGTGGGCCTGGCTTAGTTGGTGCATGTGGCTTGGTGGTCATGTGGCTTGGCGGTCGTGTTATTGGCTGGGTGTGGCCAACTCAGCATCACTCACATCGAGGCACGCATCTCCTCGCCTGGCCTCTCATGACTGTGGGGATGCTGCAACAGTCGTAGGTGTGAAAAATGGTCATAAGTCACTTTTTTCAGTGCCATTGTAACTTTGAATGGTCACTCCACACAAGCAAAGTACCAGCAAAGGAGGGGAAAAAAACTCCAGAGAGGTTCCTGAGACAGGAAGTCTAGTCCCTGGGTCGCCAACCTTTCGGACCTCATAATTTTAGATCCCAGGGACCACTAACTGGTTCTGTGGGCATGGCCGAATTTGTGGGTGTGGCTTGGTGGTCATGTGACTGGCTGGGCATGGCTTGTATGTAAATATTATAAATATTTATATCAAAATTGAATTTATTATAAAAAAAAGAGCAACTTTTACCCAAAATCAGGCAAAGCAAAGATTGAGTTGCTCGCAGAATCACAGATTCATTCAGAAATCTATCTATCTGCCATCGGCTAGCTTGGTCTGTCACACAAAATTTGCTTGCAAGCAAACTCACAAAATTAACTCACAACACACCATGTATTTATTTTTATTTATTTATTTATTTGATTTGCCAATTGTTTACAAGATAATAAGTATAAGTGTATACATAGTTGTGAATACATGAAATGGGTACATATAAGAAAAATAAAAGAAGAATAAGAGAAACAATAGGACAGGGACGGTAGGCACGTTGGTGCGCTTATGCACGCCCCCTACAGACCTCTTAGGAAAGTATGTATGTAAATAGTTAATTTTTTATTTAAAAAAGAGCAACTTTTACCCAAAATCAGGCAAAGCAGGCAGATTGAGTTGCTCACAGAATCATTCAGTGATCTATCTATCTGCCATCGGCTAGCTCAGTCTCTCAAATTTGCTTGCCGTGAGTCTGCACTTAATTTGCTTGCAAGCAAACTTTCAGTCCTAAGGGAGGTTCGGCTGTGCTTAGCTAGAAAGCAAGAAATCCAACCATTTCCTGCTTCCTAGCTAATCTAAATCACCCGTCACAGCAGAACAGCTGATGGTCCGGGCAAAAAAAAAGGAAAAATAGCAACTTAGCAGGCAAGTTTGCCGGGTAAGGAGTGAGTGGTCGGGGAGGGTTCCCGCGTGCCATGTGGGCGGGGCAGCCTTGTGTTTCTGCGCAGCCTGGATTAATTGCTTTGGGGGTAGTGCTTTGGGGGTGAGATTTCTCTGCGACCCACCAAAATTTTCTCATGGCCTACCGGTGGGCCATACCGGTGGGTTGGCGACCGCTGGTCTAGTCCTGCCAAGAATGTAATAAGGGTTAAAGGAGAGGCAGTTTCTGTAAGCAACACCAGAATGTTTCCTTCCTGCCTTCCTTACAGGATTAGGCCAGTAATTTCTTCTAACAACCAGTTCTCTGAACTGCTTAGAATGTTAACAACCAGTTCTAGCTAATAGGTGCAAACTAGTAGAATCCCAGAATCCCTGACCTCATCCCTTTCCTAAGAGGTCTGTAGGGGGCGTGCATAAGCGCACCAATGTGCCTACCGTCCCTGTCCTATTGTTTCTTTTATTTTTCTTATATGTATCCATGTATTCATAACTATGTTTTTACTTATACCTATTATCTTGTAGGCAATTGACAAATAAAATAAAATAAAAATAACAATAATTCAAGTCCCGCGGTTGAAGGTTGGGTTACCTGGTTGTAAATGTGAACGCAGCTGAACGGCACAGCATCTGCTTGCCATATTTTGCCAGGGAAAAATAAAGACACAAATTATGACCCCAGGACACTTACAACCAGTCATAAACGGGAGCACCCAAATTGCAATCACGTGACTGGTGGGGTTGGGGATAGTGGTTGTAAGTTCGAATGTAGCTGTCGGGACAGACTTTTTCAGCACTTATCGTAAACTGTTCTTAAGTGAAGGGACAGTACGCCGAGGACAACCTGAGTTTGGCGTCTTTGGTCAAAACAGGGATTCAAATTGGAGGCAGGGATGACCCTTCAACCCTCCAGGGATGAAGCTCCCACAACTTCCGAAGGCAACTTCTGTTCCATGGGTTGATTGTTCTCCCTGTCAGGTAATTCCTCCTTATTTCCAGGTAGAATAGAATTAGAATTAGAATTAGAATTAGAATTAGAATTAGAATTAATTAGAATTAGAATTAGAATTAGGATAGGAGAGAAGAGAAGAGAAGAGAAGAGAAGAGAAGAGAAGAGAAGACAGAGTAGAGAGTAGAGAGTAGAGAGTAGAGTAGAGTAGAGTAGAGTAGAGTAGAGTAGAGTAGAAGAGAAGAGAATTCTTTATTGGCCAAGTGTGACTGGACCCACAAGGAATTTGTCTTGGTGCAAATGCTCTCAGTGTACATAAAAGAAAAGAGACATTCATCAAGAGTCAAGAATCATCAGGTACAACACTTAATGACAGTCATAGGGTACAATAAGCAATTAAATCATACCAGGAAACAGTCCATATAAATAGTAAGGATACAAGTGACAAAGTTACGGTCATACAGTCACAAGTGGGAGGGGATGGGGGATAAGGAGTGATGAGATTAATAGTAATAATAGTACAGACTTTGTAATAGTTCAACAGGGTTGAGGGAATTATTTGTTTAGCAGAGTGATGGCATTCGGGGAAAACTCCCCTTGTGTCTAGTTGTTCTGGTGTGCAGGGCTCTATAGCGTCGTTTTGAGGGTGGGAGTTGAAACAGTTTATGTCCGGGATGTGTGAGGGGTCTGTAGATATTTTCACAGCCCTCTTGAATCCCTCCTGGATCAGTTTCCATCCATTATTCCTTGTCTGGCCTTCGGGTGCCTTGGATAATAGCTTGACCCCCCCTCCTCCTCTCTGTGGCAGCCCCTCAAATATTGGAAGATGCTATCCTGTCTCTCCTGGTCCTTCTCTTCCCCAGACTAGCCAGGCCCAGTGGGAGTACAGTTTGTCAGCAAGTTACCTATCCATCTGATGGTGATGTTATCCATCCCACTTTTTTCTAGCTTCCCAAGAAGTAAGTTGTGGTCTACTTTGTCGAATGCCTTGCTGAAGTCTAAGTATATTATGTCCACATTATTTCGCTGATATAAGGTATTCGCAGTGGTGGGATTCAATTTTTTTTTACTACTGGTTCTGTGGGCGTGGCTTGGTGGGCATAGCTTGGTGGGCGTGGCAGGGGGAAGGATATACTGCAAAATCCCCCTTCCCTCCCCACCCCACTAACCTGCTTTCCAGCTCCGTTCTCCTGTGCAGGGCAACCAAAGGAGACCCAGCCGATCAGCTGGGACTCAAAGGGAGGCAGAGAATAGAGGGGGTTGGTGGGGCCAGTCAGAGGTGGGATTGGGCCGGTTCTCCCAACTACTCAAATTTTCCACTGCTGGTTCTCTAGAACCATTCAGAACCGGCTGACGACCATCTCGGGTGTTAAGAGTTTGCAGCAGAAATTCAAGTCCAGAAACCACCCAGATGACTGATTCAGCAGGATCATTAACTTCTTTATAAACATAATAGATGAGTAAAGTTTACAATACCATTTGTAGATTCTTTCAATGTAACATAAGCAAAAAACCTAAGCAGCAGCAGCTGAGAACAGGATTCTAGTTTCAGTTTCAATTCTCAGCAAAGCACCCAGAGCCAAATCACCACCCAGGCTGTCCGCTCCGTTGGCTGCTTGACTCACTTGCTGACTTTGTTAACCATGTCTCTGCCAGTTAATGAACGTACCCTGGCATAAGGGAAAAGCTTTCACCTCCCCACCCCCCAGGACTGTTTTTTTTCTTATGGGGTCGGTTGGGGTGATGAATTGATTGGAAAGCTTTTTTTCTGCCCTGGGGGGCCTTATTCATGAGGAGGGGGCTGCAGCAAGCAAGGACATTAAGCCAGACACAGAAAGAGCCATTTGGATGAAGGAAATGCCAATTTCTTTGAAATGTGCGCCTCAGTCTTGAAGCTGTGTAATTCTCAAACTTGGAGGTTGAGAATGGGTGGACTTTAACTCCCAAAATTCCAGTCATTCTATTCTATTCTTAATTCTTATGATATTCCATTCCATTCCATTCCATTCTACACTGTATTGTTCTCTCCGCTCCACTTCTCTCCTCTTCTATCCCATCCCATCCCACCCTCTACTTCTATTCCCATTCCATTCCATTCTGTAGTATTCTGTTCTGTTCTGTTCTAGTTTCAATCTATTCTGTTCTAATCTATCCTGTGTTCTGTTCTATTCTGTTCTATTCCAGTTTCAGTCTATTCTGTTCTGTTCTATTCTATTCTAGTTTCAATCTATTTTGTTCTATTCTATTCTAATTCTACTTACAGTTGTTCTGTTCCATTCTGTTCTGTTCTGTTCTTTCTATATTCTATTCTATTCTATTCTATTCTATTCTATTCTATTCTATTCT